TCCCAAATCGGCAGTGCGGAAAGGCGATCCACTGTCCCAGATCACCACCCACACTCTGGAAGAAGGCCACGAATTCGACTTCACGGGCACACGAATAATGGCGCGCGTCGCTAATTAGACAGGAGGAGGACTACTGGAGGCTCGGGTGTCAGACTCCAACTCCATCAGGTGGGTAAACCGCCCTGTTATTTTGCCTTCCGTATGTGCGACCAAGGAGCGCGGCCCATATCGTGTCCAGGCACGCACGCTGCCACAACAAGGACGCACGACATGGTGCTAAGGCCACACGCCATGACGCCATGGACGCGCGCAGAGACGATATGATGAGGCGGCGTGAGCATGGACCAATCACACATTAAACCCCCTCCCCCCATTTACTCATAGCTGGACTACAAAAAAATGCCAACACTTGCTGTTTTCTCCTTTTCTCTGACGATGGCTTCTTGTGCGAAGCCAAAAGTTCAGACTAATACACCTGTCGCCCCAGTGCTCGCGTCTTTTTCTTCTTTACAATTTAAAATCTGCCAGTACGGAAGGGCTTATTGCAAATAACCCTCCTCCTCCCGTTACAAAACATCCCACAGATGAAATCCGTAGCGGCGTCTACCGGAATCTCTTCGATCGACGCAGCCTCATCAGTGGAAAGGAGGATGGCGCCAGTAATTATGCCCGCGGATTCTATCGGCTGGCACCGGAGTACCGGGAAACCTTCGAGGACAGTATGCGTTTCATTGCAGAGTCCTGTGACAACCTCGATGGCATCCAATTCTTCCATTCTTATGGCGGTGGAACTGGGGCTGGTGTGCTGATAGGTAAGACCCTAGTGGTGGTGTACTGCCCTTCAAAACGTTTTTTGTTAACCCGTAAGCTATTTATTTTGCTACCTCATACAGAGTGGGAATACATACTGGGGGCCGACCCTCCTACAAGTACATACACAGGCCATATTACAGTATACTATTTAATGGCTTTATTAAGTATGATTAGTAGAAACTGACACAGCCAGGCGGATAGAGTTGAGAGGGCGGAAACTGAGGCAAGCCCTGATGTGCTCCGGGTCTCAAACATGCCCTTGCTCGGAATAGCATAAACACAGATTCATACTCCTTGTTGAGATCGAGGAGATATAAATCCCAGCATTGAGTTTAATTAGCATCACCTCTGACCAATATTAGTGTCAGAGGTTGCAACATTACTACTAACACTCAGCTTTACTGCTAGTTAGTAGTAGAAGCAGTATCAGTCTCGGTCTCCTTGAACCCGTCTTGAAATCTACTGAAGGTGAATGAGGGTAGGCAGTGCTGTAGTACCTGCACCAAGTCTACTGTCACTTAAGACTAAGTAAGCGGTGTTCTGGCCTTCATTGGAGAAAGCGCCTAA